TGTATGATATATATATATATATATATATATACATATATGTATATATATAATACTAATGCATGAAAAATGACGGTGGACTAATTTATAAAAGTTTTTATTTATTGTTTTGTTTGGATTATAGTGATATACAGTGTAAACCCTAAGAAGTTGGCTATAGTAGGCTTATATCTGACAATCTGTTCGGCTTATCTTTTCAGGCTCTAGACCTGGAAATTGTCCGGTTCTTGAGGAAATACTCATTGAGTGTGCGAATGAGTGCGAAGAGGACGTCCACTGCTTAAGTCAAAATACTAAGTGTTGCGTAACCTCTTGTGGAAAAAGATGTACGGCCATTGACACTTCTTCTACCTCTGTTTACGTAACAACTAGGATGACGTCATTCATAAATACGATGTCGTCATCCACAATGGCGAGAACGTCAGTGATGACAAACAATGGCGATTGTTACGTTGCAGAGAAAAATAAGCAGGCACCTTTTTTTGGAGGTATCCTTTATTTTTGTAGACATACAAAAACATGTCGTAATGATCAAGATTGCATGACTGATAATGAGGAATGCATGTGCGATCTGAAGTGTGGAAAGGTGTGTAGGACAAAACCAACGCCAACAGGTAATAATAAATTATAAAACTAACGACAATGATTATTATGACAATGAAAATGATGATAATAATAATAATAATAAATTAATTTGATTTCGATTTTTTCAAAATCATATTTATAACGTGAGATTAATATAGTATAAATCACGAAAAACAATGTATGTTTTTAGCAAGTATATATGTAACATTTTAAATATAATAAATGAAAGATACTTAATACTTAACAAAAAATACTTAATTCTAATCTAGAAGTATAAATATTCTCTGCCTTGCACCATCCTTGTTTTTCTGAGTGTAGTTTTGGGGCTGAAACAAAGTTTCCTGTATAAATAACATATCAAAACATTACTAGATGTAAATTAATAATATTGATATTAAAAATGATAACGATAATAATATACAATTAAAATCCACAATAAGTAAAACACAGCCAAAATATAATAATAACGATAATTTTTGTTTTATTTTTTATTTATTCTTTTAGCATCTTTACCGATGTGTAGTGTTGATGCGATAAAAATCACTAATAATAATCAGACAAAGCAAACCATATCAACAAATGCTTCAACTATTCATCGATTAATGGATGGATTGGCAAATGAATTTGGAATTAGAGTTGCTGAAGAAAAAGGTATTCGTCGATAATCAAAAGAACCAAATATATGTAATGTACATATCATGCTATTTTGCTTTTTTCTAAATGTTAACTTATAATCCCAGCACTGTCCCTATTGCTATGACCAAAGTACTACATCTTTATTAGTTTATGATTGTCGGATTTTTTTTATTTGCATTAATATAACAACATGCCATAACATAATATACAAGGTACATTAGATACAATAAAATAAATATAAATCATACAGAATGTTATTTTTGCCACCACACTTTCAAAGAAATATAAAGAACACAGAATGTAATACATTATTGTTTTCTTTCTTCCCGTACCTTCTTTTCCTTTTTTCCCTTGTTTCATTTTTATTAATTTATAGTAGATAACCTATTTAAATATAAGACTGTAACTTTAAATTCACATTAATTGTACATTAAATGCAAAAAATGACACATAATAACGTATAACATATTAAAATCATAAAACATTTAATACATTGAATAAAAAAGAAGTCCAACAGTAAGAGAAATATACCAGTAAAACGTCAGTTGAATAATTTTTGATTAGATTATACCAATTGTTCTACAAAAGCCCACTTTTCATTAAATTTATTTTTATATGTTGGGAATCTTGCTTTGGATAGATAGCTTCGGAGAGGTACGAGCATTTAGCTTGCTCAGGGGTACCATTTTTGGGTCTAGGCTTTGAATCTTGTGAAAGATATGTAATCTGCTTTTGAAGTGAACTGGGTGAGTTTGTTACATATTACAAGAAGTTTGGCTTTTTACGTATATTTCCAGGTTGTATTTTTGGCTGTCTTCACAGAAATTTTGCAGAAGTAGTCTGGCCATTATCATTTAAAAACAAATTGCCACATTATCGGCGTATCCTTAGTTGGTGAATTCCCCTTGATGGTTTAGTTTTTTTTTTTTTTTTAATGGTAAGCAACAGAATGATTTCAGAGGAGACATTAAAAAGAGTAGGTGCTACCATGCAGCATTTCCTAATTTCAGTTTTTCAATTAAAGTCATTCCGAGATTTAACCTTCAACTTGTACTGTAGCTTTCTGTGTATTGTGTAGACAATACCCAGTCCTTGTCCATTCTTCTTCTCCATATTATACTGCTGTAAATCTGCCGCAGGCATGTGCAGACCGGTTGCTGGATCGGATTCTATAAGGAATGGCCTGGTCTACTTTATCAAGGAGAATGATTGGTTTGTCAAGCTGGTGTGTACATCTATAGTTCCTCATGAGTCAGTTGGGGGCAGGTGCAGGGCCCCCGTCTGGAAAAAAGACAATTCAGCGGAGAGAAAAAAAGTCTATTTAATTTTAAAAATCAATTACACCTTTGAAATCTCTAAATTGTCGGAATTTTCCGACGCTTCGCTTCCTAGGCTCTCTAGACCACCTTTGAGTGATGTTCACACTTAATAAACTGCACTCCAATCACTGAGCGAATTAAGTTCAAAGTGCTCCTTTTTAAATCCTTGCACATTTGTCCTTGCACCATTCCACTCCTTATTACATCTAGGAACTAATCATACTCCGTTCACCAAAGCGTAAAAGACTTATGTAGAGAGGTCCTTTTCTGCTGATGGCCTCAAGCTCTGAAATTCACTACCACAATCTGTTCTAGAGTGTCATAAATTGATGATCTTCAAGCGCCGTCTCCAATTATTTAATAAAATATTATTATTTGACAATCTAATTTTCCTCCACTCTCCTGTTTGTTTTCTCTTTCCTTTGTTTTGTGTAGTTTTTTCTTCTACCACTTTCTTTTCTGTTGCAACCATTTATTCTCGTTTTGTTTTTTTTGGTTTTTTTTCTGTTCTGGAAACGCAGGGAGACAAATGTAAATGCGCTATACGTCTATAGTTGTCGATGAATCATGAATTGTATTTTCATTCAATTTAATTGAAATAGAATCTAGTAATGTGGTACCTTATTACATGGCGGAGACATTGAGTGCGACAGAACTTTTTGTTTCAAAATTACGCCTCATTTTTCTAAAAATCAATGGACCTAAATAAAACTTTCTAGAATGGTTTGAAATGTAGAAATGATTAAATTTTGGTAAAGGTCAGGGCAATGGAATGTAAATGAATGTTTTTAGAATAGTTTGTCATGTTTCAATGAAGCAATGATAAATTTTGCTGACGATCCCCAGTCACGGTGTAGATATGAGGGCCATTTAAAGAACGTCCCAGACCAGATATCTCAAAAACTGATCAAATAATCTAAATGAAACTTTCTTGAAGAGTTATAGGGAAGAAATAATGACATTTTGGTGACGATCCAGTTTGGTGTGGTCCCAAAGACCTATTTATATTTTTTAAAATATGATCAGTGGATCCGAATGAAACTTTTTTGAATGGTTTGTCATATTCCAAGGAAGAAATCAAATTTTTGTGATGATCTGTATTAGGTGTGGATATGAGGACCATTTTAAAGGGCATTTCTCAGACCTAGATATTGACAAAATGATAAAATTTATCTGAAAACATCCTGGATTGGTACGTATGGCCAAGGGAAAAGTATGCACTTTCTATACAGGGGAGAATTATGAAGCTGAGGTATACCAGCAGTTTATTATTAATACTAATATTATTATTATCATTATTATTAGTATGATTATTATTATTTATTTATGTTATTAACACTACTACTTTTACTGAACTGTATTATTATTGTACATGTTTACTTCTGGACACACTGAGTTTCAATGGTTATTTTTAGATCCTTGTCTACGGCGGTATTGTCCTGATGGTTATACTTGCATTGAATCAAACGGTCAAGCCAAATGTCTCTTCAACAATCCAAACTGCCGAAAAAAGAAACGCCCAGTTTGCGGAAGCGATGGAAATATATACGAATCCATAGATGACCTGAGAGAAGAAAAGAGACGCCGGAATAAATTGGGTGATACCACACCATTACGGAAGGTGAAGCATGGATGCAGGAGGAACAGAACCACTAAAAAACAAAGCAGGAATCAGTCACACCAGAAGCAAAACTTCATATAGATATAATTGAAACAATTATAAAGTTGTATTTTTTTAACCATGAATACCTGCACATCTATAGAAGTAGTCCAACATGAATACTTACACATCAATAGAGGTAGGCACACATGTTTGTACCATACGCAAATAACTTGCATGCCAGAATTGAGACGTTAAGGTTCTTGTAAAATATGGCTTACGGTTTATGTTAAAGATACAATTTAAGAAGTAAAGCAGATATTTGAACTTTTGATTTTGTATATATAGGTTAGAAAGTAAATATTACAATTATGATCAAATGCATAAATAATATTAAAATATTGTTATTGTACAGGCTTTTAATTTGGCTAATGATCAATTGAATAATTTTTCTAATAAAATGTTCTTCATAAAAAAAACCATGTTCTTTCTATTTCTGTATAGTTTGTCGGTTTATAACCAGTAGCGGCGATACGGTGGTGGGTGGGGTGGGGCAGAGGGGGAATTTTCCCCTAGATAATTTTCTTTCCCCAGCTCCCCGCTCCCAACACCCAGTTTTGCCAAAAAAATGAACAACCAAATCAATTGTTTCCATTGGCCTGTCTGTGATTTCAAGGTCACTGGCCATTAAAAAATGCATTTAACAAATGTTTACATTTTGAAATAATTATACTGAGCATTTAAATAAAAATAACACATGGATAGAAGCATGACCAGTTAACCATTTTGTAAAGTATAATTGTATCTTCAGTCTGCTATACGGGCCTACCACTATTTCAATAATAAAGTACTGTACAGCATATGATAACTATGTCCCAAACGGTGATCAATCTACCACATTAATCTCTGATTGGCATGGTATTACTAGGTGTGTTTGTAATCAGTAAGCCTAATGAGAAACGATAAACCACTATGTATCTGCGGTTAATATTATAATGAGAAATAATTGATAAACTGGATTGCTTACTACGTTAATATGTAGGTGATAGTTTATGTAGGTTCACGTAGGCCATTATATAGAACGCTTTGCCTGTAGCCTATATTATTATTATTATTATTATTATTATTATTATTATTATTATTATTATTATTATTATTATTATTATTATTATTATTATCGTTGTTGTTGTTAATTAAAATGATAAAAACCACTTCCTGTTAATATTACGCACAAAGGTGCAGTGTACAAAATACGGTACGTTACGACAATATTATAATAATAATGATAATAATAATAATAATAATAATAATAATAATAATAATAATTATTATTATTATTATTATTATTATTAAATATTATTTAACGGTTACAGAAATAATAATAATAAAATATTAAAAATAAAAATAATAATAACAATAAAAATGATAATTTAAAAAATTGTGCAGCTATTAATCAGATAATATAAAAATTTGATGTGAATGTAATATAATCAACAATAATATAGTAAATACCGTATGATAAATTGTATTATTTGTAAAAGTTTACGTCAAATTATTATACTAAATGAAGATCATTATACAATTCGATATGCACCACAAAATGTGATAAATGCAAGTTTGCAAAAAATAAATAAAATAAAAAATAAAATAAAGTAAAAAACATAACAAAACACCTCTAAACTCTGAAGAAAAAATTAATAGGCCTACTGACAATTATTCATTCATAAAGAAGTCTATTAAGGTTGTGAATATTAGTATGTATTATACAATATAGGTTTTAATAATAATAATAATAATAATAATAATAATAATAATAATAATAATAATAATAATAATAATAATAATAATAATAATGGTAGTGGCTATCGGCACTGCCGCAGTGCCGATTTGGCACTGCCGCAGTGCCAAAAAAACCTGCTGTTTTCTATCGACACTGCCGCATTGCAAAAAAGCTGCTGTTTTCTATCGGCACTGCCGCGCAGTGCCGATGTGGCACTGCCGCAGTGCCAAAAAAAAGCTGCCGTTAATTAATCGAATCGATGTTTTTATCGATAGATGACATTGGTATAACTCATAATTCATAATTTTATTTCACTCAAAACGTAATGAGACTGGTTAGGCAAAAACATGTCCCTGTACAAGATGCCTTCCAGAGAAACAATAATAATGTTAATGGCAAAGACATAATAATAATAGTAATAATAATAATAATAATAATAATAATAATAATAATAATAATAATAATAATAATAATAATAAAAATAATAATAATACAGATAATAATAATAATAATAAATAAATAATAATAAAAAGTAAATGATAATAATAATAATGAATAAAGATCAAAATATATCATTGAAGTGAATTATTTATTAAAAAAAGATTTGGAGGGCTGGACTGTCATGAATGTGTTGTATTAATGATGTTCTAAATATTTGCCTTTATTATATCAATAATTAATTAGGTCTAGCTTAGCCTATATTATTGTTAACATTATATTATATTTGTTTAACAATTAGTTTAAATAATTATTTCTAATTAAATTATTAAATGTCTACAATATATATTATATAGGCCTAGGCATATACATAAAACAAAAAATAAACAAACAATAATAATAATAATAATAATAATAATAATTTTACGATAGTTTGATTAATGAAATAATAATAATCAGCATATTAAATAAAATTACGTCATGCAAAACCTGCTTTTAAATAAAAACGTTATCTATTTGATTCTGATTTAAAAAATAATCTTATAAATTATAAGGTTATTTTTTGCGATAATTTTATGCACATATGCATATTCATGTTTTCAATGTTAATCTGGTTGATAAATAATATATATAAAAAAAAAATAATAATAATAATAATAAAGGTGCTCGAATAATGTTTTAGTGAATAATTAATAATACTTCAATAATGCTTCAATAGGCCTATTTACGATAGTGTGATTAATGAGATAATTGTTGATTAAGTTATGGAAATATAATAGGTAGGCCTATATACCATTAATAATGATTCAGATATTAAATCAACAATACGTCGTAAATGTAAAATTTCTTTGGTTTCATAATAATAATAATAATAATAATAATAATTTTACGATAGTTTGATTAATGAAATAGCAATAATCAGCATATTAAATAAAATTACGTCCATGCAAAACCTGCTTTTAACTAAAAACATTATCTATTTGATTCTGTTTTAAAAAATAATCTTATAAATTATAAGATTATTTTCTGCGATAATTTTATCCACATATGCATATTAATGTTTTCAATGTTAATATGGTTGATAAATAATATATATAAAAAAATAAATAAAAA